TGCGTGAAGGGGGGAGGAAGGGGGGGCTCAGAGGGTAGGGGGTTACGGGGGAGTGGGGGGAGTGCAACGGTGAAACAGCCATGCGCGGCGGGATGGCTTGGTGCGGGTTGGCCGTGGAAGTCTTAACCCCCGACCGAACTACCCAGTGTGTCGGGGGGGGGAGTTGGACATCTCAGGGTCTCAGCCACTGGGTGCCAAATAGGCATAGGGGGGGGGGGGGGGCTGTGCCGAAAGAGTGGGTTCCAGAATAAAACTCAGTGCAGCGGTCAGCTCGTACTTGAAGGTGACTTCTCCAGTGCACTGAATAAACAAAGTTTACTTGGCGCGGGGTTCCGGCTGAAATGGGATTTTTTCAATATTTTGCACAATACCTAGACTCAACTAATAATGATGTGGATAGAAACCGAGTCCAGCACTAATACTCAAAAAGTTGGAAGCACAGCTCAAAAAATGGAAATCAGACATTACTAGATTGAAAAATTTCATTTAAAAAACAAGATAAGCAAATTACAAATCACTAAAAGAATGGATTTACTAATTTTGACCAATATCTCTATCTACCGATACTTTAACCTAGCACATTAATTATTCATTTCACCATACACCCGTCATGGTACCCCTACTCAAGACCTCTATCACCCACAAAGCCCAATAACATAAGAACTAGTTACATATGCACAGCAAAAGGACTTATTTTTGTACTATAATAATCATTTTCTCTGAAATACCAATTTGCAATATTTTGCCGTAATAATTAGTCCGAGAGGGGGACCATGGAGGTTCGAGGCAAAAAAGAGGGGCCAACCCCGCCCTCGATGAAGCACTGTTCCAGGCGTGGGTCGGTCTCCGAGATGGAGGTTGTTGTTTTTTTACAGTGTGCATAAGCCGGGGTCCCTTGACAGCGCACTGCATAGTAATGTCGAGACACAAGGGAGGGTGAGTACTGTCCCTAAATCGAGAAAACGGAACAGCATCCGCAGAAAAAGAAACGATGCATTGTGTGATGATAATACAATTGTATAGGGTGATGCTGTTATACAAATAGTGTGAAGTGTTAAAAAGATGGTAGCCAAAAAGTTTTGTATGTTTAAAGAGAAAAATACCGTAGGTGTCCGGGGGGGTGTGAAAAGGATGGTTTGGGCTTTCAAGGTACACTGGATGTGTTCACGCGGTGTTAAAGGAAATGAAGATCGGTTAGTTGACAAATTTAGATGAAGAGAGTTAGACTATCAGAGGATGTCTAGAATTATGTGACTACCGCTGTTCATTAGCGTGATGCAGAACAACATACTGTGGCGGGACTGCTGGGGAAGAGGAACAGTTAGTATTGTATTCGTTTCATAATCTTATTTAATAATAAGTTTAAGTTCTTACCTAATGCGCTAAAATATACATAATTAAAATTGTACTCTACACGCCTTTGGTCTGAAATAATCATGGCAGCCGCAGAAGAAACGGGATTGGGCTTTGGATTTTCTGTCGAGACTTGTAAACCTCCGGAGTATCGAGATCTCAGATAGTGTGTAATAATAAAGTTTTAAAATTTGTCTAAACTGCCGCTTACAAGCTTGCGGTTGTATTGGAAGCATAGAGAATCCACAATGAACTACAGAATAGTTGTGGTAAAGGCGCCCTGAAAATCAGGTGGTGTATGATCTGTTGGCAGAGATAAAAAGGAGCTCTACCTTTTTTGGATTTCAACGAATAACACTAAGGGGCGTTTGTTCGTGAAAAACGGAAAGTGTCCCGATAGGCAAACTCAATGGGTGAGAGATTCATCGGCGCAGAGGTGGCAAAGCGCGACAGTCTTTTTGCAAGTTCTTCGGTGACAGAGGCAATATGGGTCAACAACCAGTAGAAGGGGCAAGGGTGGGAATTTAGTGGAATAGGCCACGGTTTTACCCTCATGGTAAATTTCTGGGGCGTGCAGATTGGAGGTAAAGTACAATGTGGGGTCTGTGTGTGGCGTGGATACGTAGCGGACCACATGAAAGTGGGTGAGTTGGGTCGCGAGCGAGGGGGGGGCAATGCATTAAATGCCGGTTGTTTCCTTTTAGAATTGGGGTTGGAAAAAAAAAGGAGATGGGGGCTCAATAGGTTCACCGGTATTTTTATATGGCGGCTCGGGAGAAGGCTTGGGCTAGCCAAGGGAGGCCGTAGGGAAAGGTGGAGGAAGTGGGAGTATTCTCGGGGGTGGTCGAGTGGTTAAAGTGGGGTTTGGGGGGGGGCAGGAGGAGAACCGGAGCATGGGGGGGGCCAGAAGTGATGTGTCGGAGTGGAACTGGGGGCGCAAGAGCTGGGTAATTAGCTGTCGTGCTGGAATGGTGGCATGAGTGTAGGTGGTGTCGAGTGGGATTCGTAAGGATAGTTAGCCAAAGGGGGCAGGCTGTCATGAAGAAATGCAAAAATGGACAACAGGTGAGCCGAACCAGGGCCGGCTGCGGACGTGGGAGGATATTAATGTTGGAAGAGTATATAGTAACGTTGAAAGATAATTAATGTCTGTCACGATTGGTAACTACTCGTTCTGGGAATGCGTTAGAAGGCGGACAACCACTATTTGGATACCACTCGTCGCGCGGCCTGGGTGGAGGTGGGTTGTTGGGGGGGACATCTGTTTTGGTAATAAGTCCCATCAAATAGTGAATCCACAAAAAGCTAAATATCTTATGGATAAGTGCCAAGAGGTTAACTGCTTCTGGGCAGAGGGGGGGGGGGGGGGGGGGGGGGGGGGGGGGGGGGGGGGTGGGGGGGGGGGGGGGGAGTATGGGGTGAAGGAGGGATTTGGGAGGTGAAGGGAATCTTCCTCTGCCCCGCCTCCCTCCAAAGAGTGCGCCAAACATCGCACATATTCGGCGAGCTTATTCATTTCTGTATCCCTGCTCGTACTCAAGATCTAATATGGCCGGTAATACTCCATATTAGATCCATTATCCCAATTGAACCTGACATGACCAATTTCATTTCAAACATCAAGTGTCGTTTTTCCAACAGTCCTTGAAAATACATTCTCCGTTCTTTCCACCATTTCTATAGCAATATGCTCTCCTTTATTTCACACACCTCACACAATATTTTTTACGTATTGAATCACCTGGCTCATTTGTTCTTTATGCGACACATCTGGAATGCAATTGAACATTATTGTATAACATTTGGCTTCTTTAATATCATTTAAAATGCTATTGCAAACTGTTTTCGGCATTAGATCAGTAACTTCATTTTGAATTATCTTTGTTTAATATGACACTTGTTCCTTCTTTAGGTATTCTAACTGGTACTTAAAGAGTTATGTTTGGGTAGCAGAGTCATTAAATTGAAAAAAAATTGCCTTAACTAGGCCAAGGACACTTTGTGAGCAGACTGCCAGGGAAACAATGTAAAGAACCCAACGTAAAGAAAGACAGTTTGTTGAAAGATACAATACAGCATCCGTACTCACTTGTAGGATCTTTTTTTTTATTTTTCTTTCTCTGTGTGAATTAGTCTCTTAATGCGATGATGCCTTCACACTATTTTATTTGTTGCAGTGGAATTTTGCACTTAATCATGCACTCTCTGTGGGATTTCAAATATTTCGTGCTTAGTTAACCTTTCTGAAGCTTTTTTCCAATTAGTGAATCATGTAGTATACAATGCTGATGTAGCAGCAGTGGCATGTTTCTGATAAATCTCACAGGGTGTACAAAAATTGTATTTTTAGCTTTAGAATAAATAATCCAAGATCTTTTAAGCCTTTCATTAGTTGCTAATGTTCTGTGCCATAATGAAGATGTCAAATGTCTTCTATCACATTCAGTGTACCTAAGATCTATGTTGTCTGGATATTTTTCGGCTAATAATACAGCTTGACTGCTAAGAAAGATTGTTACTGCTCGTTCATTTTTTTCTGTGATTGGCCAACTACCTGGGTTCGACAAATCAAAAGATTTTAAGTCTTCGTTCTGCTGGCCACACTCACCTAAATGAGAAAATACTTTATATCCTAATTTCATATGCTCTAGATGTTAGTTTGGGGTCTATAAAGAAAGTTGTTCTCTCAGTTGCTGCAATCTATTTTTATATTTCCCTTAGCACTTTCACATCTTTATTAAAAGTAAATACAATGTGCAAGTTTCTGTACTTTCTGATTATTCTCATCAAAATGTCATGATTTAGTTGGAGACGTAGGAAACAACATTTCTGAACTCATTGGCTACCAGTTTTTCACCAAGCTTTATACAAAAGAGAACAGCCATTTTCAAAATAGCAGTGTACTAAAAATTCCATACAAGAGTAATTAGTAAAAAAGAAACATTGGTAATAAGGCATTATTATCCTGGAAATTGCGGTGTTCAGAATAAGGGATGTCAAATAGAACATTTAAAACACAAGAATTTTATGTAATTTAGTTTTGTAAATACAATATACATCATCTAAAAAATGTGTGAACAGCTCTGTACACAGTGATGTGTTTTCACTTAAAAAAAGTGAGAGAACTGCACATACTTGTTTCTGTACAACTTCTGCATTGTGCACTGGTCAAAGCAGCCATGCACTGTCCACTTACCTGGATTGCCACATAAATACTTTTGGGTAATATTGTGAGTTGCCACATAGCTATATTGACAACATATTGCTTTGCCCCATGAATACTTTTTTGTGACATTTTGGTGGGCGTGCGAATAATCAGAAAATACCTGGGTTTCTTCTTTCTCTTTCCTTTGGTTTTTTTTTCTGTTCTACTGTTTTTTTTTTTTTTTTTTTTTTTTTTTTTTTTTTTTTTTTTTTTTTTTTTTGTTTTTTTTTTTTTTTTTTTTTTTTTTTTTTTTTTTTTTTTTTTTTAAGAACATTGAAAATTTGCTATTATTGCTTAATATTTGTTTTTTGATGCTTTGTGTAGAAACAGTAATCAAATAATTAAAATATTTTGATTACATTTTATCACAGCTTTAATGTTATGCAGAAAAATGATTTTTTACTAATATATATGTTTGTTACTTTATTTGTTTACATTTTAGTGTGAAACAGATGGAAATTTTATCATCAGCTTCTGCCATACATTGCCACAAGAGTCTAATACAATAACTTATTTTGCCTTCACATATCCCTTTTCATATACAGATTGTCAAAACATGCTTGATGCTATTGATTCAAAAATTGGATCATCATTATATGTAAATAAAAACAAGTAAGTGTATCCTTAATAATAAACTGATTGTAGTTGTTGTGAATGCATGGTGTGACAATTAAAAAAAAAACTGGTACA